TTTTAAGTTACCTACAATGCACTAAACCAAATTAAAAAAAACAAAATTAGAAGAACCCAAATTTTCAGGAAAAGAAACATTATTAACAAGCAAGCAAAAACAATACGGGACTTGCAAATTAGAACTTAACATAGAGTTCAAATTTAGCATACTGCTATCCCCTTAAGGCTCGTTACCACTAATAGTAACACCCTACAGTTATTATGACACCATACACATAGATGTTTTGCGTGGAAAAAAGGATGAATCCTAGAATATAATGTAGTGAAGAAATAATAATGGCTAATCTTTGGAATATGGTAACAGGTAGTTTGGCGACATTTTGGTAAGGCGATAAAGGTTACTAGCTAGGACTTTAGCAGTGTACATGGATAAAGTCAAGAGTGTGCACAATGCCATTTTTGTGCAATTCTGGGATGTTTTTTTTTAAGTGAAAATAGGTCGACGTGTACATGGATGATACCGTGTATGTGCAATTCTTAAAAACGCGGCAAGCAGTTTGCGATTCTGCGCTGTCTCCGAATTTCGCACCTAATCTTCGTCATGATTAAGCATTTTCGTTCCATAAAAGTTGTAGTATACGAGTAATTTGGCTAGCAGATTGTTGGAATAAATGTTGAGTAAAAAAAAAAAAAAAAAAAAAAAAAAAAAATGCCTTTACATCGTGAAAACAAAATGGCGTCCAAAACAAAACTAGCAGGTTGCTGTAGCAGGGTTGGTCGCCAAAGTTTCGCCAAAAAATCGCCAAGTTACCATAATCCAAAGATTAAGCATAATAATATACAAACACTGTGTCAACCCCTTATTACAATACTTTGAATGTTACCTGTATCTCTCAAAAGATAAATGAAACATGAAGATAACATATAATAAACTTAATAATACCCAAAATACAATAAATTGTATTGTAACAAAACGAATTTAAAAAAATTTACAAGTCTCAACAAATACCAATTCTCAGCGCACAGTTCGGGAATTAAGGAAAATATCTCATAGCGTATAATGTTTTATTCCGTATCTCACTTTTAGTGCTATATAATCTTCCACAGATTTTATATAAATAAAATCTATAATATGGGTATTTATACTATATGTAGTTCTTGATGTAAGAAAGATCAACTTTCGTACTGTAAAAATTCCATCTATGTGAATAAGTATGAATATACTCATAATTATACTAAATAACTAATTTAATGAATCTAAATTCCTATAGAAAATGGAGATGGTGTAGAATCGCCCACTGCTTGCAGTGTTTTTAAGAATTGCACATACTCGGTATCCATGTACACATCGATGTATTTTCACTTAAAAAAAATCCCAGAATTGCACAAAAATGTCATTGCGCGCTCCTTTGACTTATTCAGGTACACATCGACCTATTTTCACTTAAAAAGTCAAAAGAAAATTGACAAAAATCCAATTCTTTTTACTTTAGTAAAAGTGCCAAATAAAATAAGTAGGCGATTCTGCACTTTACCCGAAAAAATATATAAAAATACCATTTACCTATATATATTAATAATTTATTATTACACAAGGTTTTTCATATATCATCTCAAAGGAACATAAATTTAATTAAAGCGATGCATTATTGGAATAAATGTAGTCAGTGTTTTAGGTGTAAGTTATTTAGATTTCTATTGTAGAAAGAAAATATAATACATAGAAATATACATAGAAAATGTATAGAAATATTATTTTGAACCATAAAAATTCTAAAGAGTAAAATCTAAAGTACTGAAAAGGTAGCTAATGTTCTTGACAGTAGATTATATAATATAAAAATACCTCATCCTGAGCATTTTCTGAAATTACAATGCCAAATGAAATTTATATAGTGCAGTGTTTAGCAATAATAACTTTTTGTAAACAAATGTAGCTATATTCGCTTAATTGTAATGACAGTAATTTTAACTGCATTTGTATAAGGGGTACTTACGTATTATCGCAACCAGGTTGGCGCTATTTGTAAGTTTGAGTAAAAAAGTATGAATAGAAAGAAAATGTACATTTATTAATTACAGATAATTTTTAATACAGTTTTTTATATTATTTTGTTTTAAAATAAAATAAAAAAAAAATTAAACCCTTGCGGTTTCGAATTTGAATAAGTTGCAGAATTATTTTTTCGGCGAAAATCTTTTGGCTATTGCTTTTAGCACTGATTGAAAACCGTATTCGCCCTAACCATGTACACGTCGACTTATTTTTACTTAAAAAAACATCCCAGAATTGCACAAAAATGGCATTGCGCACACTCTTGATTTTATCCATGTACACTGCTATTTTCTCATAAATTACAAAAATTTGCACGAAAATGCAGTAACATTTTGTGAATCTCCACATGCTCTTTTTACAAAACTACGTATAACACGTAGGGTTGCCTTAAGTAGGTCGCCAAATTTCGCAATTTATGCGAATTTTGGCCTGGTTGCGTTAATACGTAAGTACCGTATAAGGCTGTACAGAAGATTTATTTATATGGGTTTTCATCCGCAGAGAGCAACCGAATTCTCTGTGGAAGTGCTTCCGAAAATAATGTTTAAATATTACTCTAACTATACTTGAAAGCAATGCTATAACAGTGCCCTTATAAGACTCATGATCCGAAAAGCTTTGGTTTTAATTGTCTCGTAAAAACTTTCAATTACTTCTGCAAAATTCATACCCACGTAAAAATTACTACACTGAAGTCAATTGATTATACAGCAAAACGTTCCTAAAACAATCAACTCCACAATTCAAGATAATGCCAGCTTCCTGTAGCCTGACAAAACTATGAGTGATTTTTTAAGTCCCGTTATTTAATTATTGTCCTGACAAATGTGCCATGATCAGAGGTGGCCATTTAAGAAAATAACCACTATATAAGGTTTCAACTTAATGTAATTTTTTTCATATAAATAATTCATTTTTAAACTCCCAAGACTAGTACATTTAATATTACATAAATCTTATTCACGAATCTATTTCTATTTCAAAAGCAATTTATGAAAAACACATTTGAAATTTTCTTCATCAAACTAATAATAATGAAAATTAAAGTATGCATAAAAATGATTATATGTGTTTTAACAAAATAGCACAAAATATTTAATGTAAAAATGTGGTTCTAGTCTCATACTTGTAAAGAAAAATAGACCAAAAAGAAAAAAACAATGTAAGCTACTATGATCATCTAAATTTTCACATAATTTTAGTAGTGGAAAAAAGATTCCTTAAGCTTGTATGTCTTGTCTACCCCATTCAATAAGTAATAAACACATTAAATATTTCAATGTTTATTTCATTAATAAAACTTACCTTTTTTGCTCGCGAAATATAATTAGTACATTTTTTAAAACGTAAAAAAGTATTCTTTTTGCTCGGCCACATCACATTAGTCGAAAAATTGAAAATTGAATCATGCAAGATCATTTTTAAGTAAGGTATGCTCAAATTTATTAGTACATAATATTCAAATGATAAAGCATCTACATGAACAAGCTTTAAAAAAGTATTTCTAAACTGTAATCAAAAAAATAAATTTTCCAAAATACAATTTCAGTAGAATGCAAAAACTATATTTCTGCATCTGATCACTGAACCAAATTATCAAGTCTGAAATTATCACTTTTCAGTCTTTAAGCACATTGTTTTTCAGGATAAAAGTAAAGATGGAAAATCAATTTCACGCTCAGAAACTCCATTTCACAACTAGTCAGTTATCAGCAACGTTCTCTCAAACATTAGACACGATTACACGTGCATGGCTTTAGTGGTATATTCGTAGTCAGTGCTGGTATTTTATTATTTATTATTAATTTCTAAACAGTAAAACATAGTAAAATTTGTAATGCAGTAAATCATAGTAAATAATATATTGCATTACTACAACCACGAAGAAAATAACACCACCATCGCATAACAATAACTAGGGCGGCGCCATATTGCTTGTTTGGGAAACTTCTGAGAGTGGGGGAGGGAGGGGGAATTTTTTCTTCACGTCAGCGTTAACAGAGAGAAAAGTTTGGCGATTGTGAATGAACTTGTTTGCGTTAAAGAGATGTTGGTTGATACCAGTGTTTATTTGTAATATCAGAAATGTAAGTGCTTATGTGTGTGTATTCAGAGAACCAACTGGTAGCAAAAACCACCTCCCTAAGACGACCGCCTCTGAAAGAGACCAGTATTTCTGAAAACATAAGTATACTTTGGCATTGAATATTCCCTCTGTAAGGCGACCATTCACAAAGAAAGTTCTGCAAGTGTGTCTGGTCGCCTTAGAGAGATTCATTCCGTAGATGCAATCTCCCTAAGACGACCACCTCTAAAAGATAACCGTATCTCTGAGAACGTGAGTATATATTGGTATTGAGCATCACCTCTCTAAGGCGACCACTTTCAAAGATGAATTTTTATTTGCGGCTGGTCGCCTTAGAGAGACCTTGTTGTGTGTGGTGTATATGATTACTGTTATTGTTTCCGAAAAAAAATTTTTAAATCAAATAAATAAGCATATTTAGTAAAAACCCTCTCTAAAACGACCACCTGCGTTTCCAGGTTACTCTGATGGTCTTAAAGAGATCATATTTTCATTCTGTTAATTTTATTGTTTACAAGAAGTCTATTAACGTCAGATAAAAAAAATAGCATAAACCCATATAAACCAACAGAAGATTTATTATTATATTGATACCAGTAAGAAAACCAGTAAAAGTCAATATAAACCTATACAAACCAGTACAAAGTTCTGCCATTGATGTTGGTTGTATGGGTGTCAAGTGATACCAGTAAGAAAACCCCACAGAGATCAATAGAAACCAGTAAAAGTCAGTAGAGACCATCAAAAATTCTATAGGTACCAGTAGAAAGTTTTACTGGTTTCTATATGTCATTTTGAAACCAGTAAGAAAAACACACAGAGACCAACAGAAACCAGCAAAAGTCAATAAAAACCCATAAAATCTTATGGGTACCCATCATAAAAAGTTTTACTGGTTTCTATGGGGCATTTTTAGCAGGGTACTTATATTTCGTTTTATTTTGAAGGTCTCCCAGAAAATGTCCGGAAGTTTTGAATGCTACCTGTTGCCAGTGGACACTGCAATCTAGGAACATTTATATTAGGTCCTATCGATTTTTAAGATTTAGAATTGATGGCAGTAATGCTTTGGGCACAAATACACAGTATTTTTTTATAGAGCATTCCAAAGTAGGTAAGTTCTATCAAACTGAGTAAAAGAACTGTGCAACGTTTGTTAAACTAAGCTAACAATAAAATAATAAACTGAAAATCTTCTGAAATTTAAATATAATCTTCATTGCCATTTCTACTCCAAGAAGTAGATATTTGTTCTGTACTGAGCATTAATTACAAACTGCTTGATGCCTAATTATATAAGTTACGGAAACCAGTTGGAATAAGTTAAAAATGTCTTAAATAGTTTTTACAAATATGAATTTATTACATGTACACGTTTTTCCATTCGAGATATTAAAAGCTACATAAATGTAGGATTCTACTTCTTAGAAATTAAATCCCTTTTAAAATTTATATTTATTAATAGATTTAATTAATATTTATTAATGATTTAAATTAATTATAATTTTTAAGTGTTAAACACTGTTACTGTTTCATTCTCTTAAGGGCATATCTTAATTAACTCTTCATCAAGATTTAAGGCCAGGCATGTAAAACTCAGTATCACAGATAGGCCAGTCATCAGTGTACAAGAAATTTAAGAAATAAGAGCCAAAAAAATAAAGGTAATTTTTTATCCTTAATGATGCATTTAAAAAGTGAGTAAATGCATAAAATCTTTTCTAACACTTGCAGTTCATTAAAAATAGAATAAACATACGGAATTCTTATAGCAAATCGGTATCTATCGTTTCTTCTCCGATACCTGGTATCTTATAAGGTACTTCTCCTGCCTTCCTAGCGTGCCTTCGTGGTGTGGTGGTCTGCACCCTGGGCCTGTATTCCAGAGGTCCATGGTTCGATTCCTGGCGAAGGTGTTGCTAATTTTTCAACTTGTCTGCTTTCAAAAATAACTAATGTCTCTACAGTGGCGTCCGAACTAAAAGGGGGGTGGATGAGTATTTGGCGATTGGGTCCCCTAAAAACACCAGTCACCCTTTAAAAGGGGGAGTATATAAGGTATTTCTCCCACCTTCCTAGGGTGCCTTCGTGGTGTGGTGGTCTGCACGCTGGGGCGGTATTCCAGAGGTCCGTGGTTCGATTCCCAGCGAAGACGTTGCTAATTTTTCATCTTATCTGCTTCCAAAAAATACCTAATGTTTCTACAATCTTCTTAATGAAACTATCTTTTGGGTATCTGTGAACGTACTGCTGGCAATAGAAATTTTCGGAATAGAAATCATATATACGAGTATCTCTGTTAACTTGGATCTCGTTGGGTTTTCTTTCCATAACTGAGAAAAATGGTTCACATTAATATGCAATATTGAACAGGAAATTCACGATGTAAATTTGTGGCTTTCTCAAAAACAAGCAGGGAAATATTTACGAAATTGAACTATAACCACGTAACTGAATTTTTGCTTTTAAATTTAGTCGTATTGAAACTCCCTTAATTCCCTTTGTAAATGGGCTAGCAGACTCGCAATGTCGGCTGAGAACATATTTTTATACAGACACCGTCTGGAGTGCCTTTTTAGCTGTCCACGTTTTATATACGGCAGGATACTGTGTAAAATTTGAATTTTTCCGTGTATAAACCGAGAAATTCTGGAACGTTTTCTAAAGCTATTGCGATATTCCAGTGTTATTCTGAGGCATTACTGTCTAGGTAGTACTTCCTAAAGCAACTACACAATTCCTTACGAGCCTGAGGATGAATAGTACATGAAATGCGTCCCTGATATGAGGTCTTGCATGGTGAAACGAAGAGAAGAGATACTTTGTATCTGTAGGAGGTATAGTCGTCACACATCTAGTACCATATATACAGCACTAAGAGAAAGAAAAAGCGCGTAAGCGGTAGGGAACCCATCTATTAGAGTAGCGTCAGCTTGCAGTGGTCGGCGTCTAAACCTGGCAACACACGAGATTGGAAAATGTACAGAATATCATGAAACGTAACAGGTAGTTTGGCTACGTTTAGGTGACGGGTGATACCGCGTGTCAGATGACAAATCCTTCTTGCGGTAGAATATGTGAAGCGTACGGATCATATGAAAACATCGTCCACTAAGATTTCATAATTTGGAAGTATAGCGAAGTTTGCAGTTACTGTTGGTTTCTGCCTTGTTCCTAATTAAACATTTTGAGATATTTCTTTACCGCGTCAATTTTCAAATCATATTACAAATTTTCATTTCGGATGAAGTAACGAACACCAGTGATAAGCCGCAACAACTTGTTTCGAAGGGATTTGCAGTTGCTTGAGATCATTTTCTTTTGCAGTTGCTCGGGCTGGTGATGCGTAAGAAAAGATCGGGCGGATGATAGCCTTATAAAGACGTAAGGTACCTGCATGATTCAGTCCTGAGTCACTCTAAAGTAATGTGAAAAGTTTCCGAATGACAGGGTATGACCGCGGGCGCTCTCGATGTACGCAGACCATGTGAATGAAAATCCTAAGTATTTAGCCGAATGTTCATTCCACGAATTTATCTTGTTGAAGTCGTCAGAGATGATAATTCAAGTTAACTTTTCAAAGAGGTGGGTTTTCATAAAGGATCTTCGACACCTCCAAGAAATGAATTATATATTAGAGATGGGCAAAACCGTTCCTTTAAGGGATGAGATCGGAAACGTTTATTGACTGAAGTGTATCAGTTCTTTTTAACGATTCACCGCTCACTAACAATGGCTTCGATTAATGCTTCGGAACAGGCATCAATCAAGAGCGGTGTGCAAAGATGATGGAAAAGCAGAAAAAATTGAACAAGGAGTGGGATCGCTGGAATCAACTCAACCAAACCGCTCACTCCCTTGGCTGATTTCTCTCAACTGTACTTTTGAGATTCCCTAAAACAACCTTTCTATATAGAACAACAGTAACGTTATGGAATAAAAAATGCTTAAAGTTAAAAAATAATGAAAACTAAACTTCCTTTTGCTATACATTATTTTATCATTATAATTGATATCTTGTTGCTACTACAAAGCATAGTGTAAAAATTAATTTTTAGATTAGAGGCAGCCCAAGCATTTTTGACCTTGACAAGCTCGATGAATTTTTGCCTTATGAGCGAGTAGTACTATAAACTGGAGTCCCCTAAAATAGGAGAGAATGAGGTATGAGGTGGGCCTGTTGTGAACAGTGAATGGATTCATGCTATAGCTGGCAATGTTATTTTGGTTTGGTTTAGTTTATTTAATTATGGCAAAGTACTCGAAGGCTTTCTGCCTAAAGGAAGGGATGTCTTCGTGGAGGATTTTATGAGGGATGTCTCGTATACACTTTACGCATGGGGAAAACCACCACGAAAACGCCCATGCAGCCAGCCCGTTCGCGGCACTGGAATTTCGGACCTACTACCAGTGTTCCAGGGTGTTTACTGCTCATCCGCTGGTGAGCCTGCTGTTTTCGAGATTTTATGTAATTTTAAAGTTTCATTAGAATATTCGTCACTGGTGATCAGAAACCTTTTTTAGTACTTTTTGATTACTTATAAAATATTAACAGCTAATTTTTATATTGTTATACATTTCTAGAAGGGTACTTAGTCGTTGGATACTCGTTGTAGAAGTCGTTGAATACTTATAGTTTGATCCGAGCTTCGATGTCAATGATCGGGCTGGCTGCGTGAGCGTTTTCAGGTTTTTTCCCATACGTTGCGTGTATACGAACCAATTTTTCTTGGAAAGTCCTCCACGAAGGCATCCCATCCCTTAGGCAGATAACCCTGGAGCGTTTCTTGTAATTAAATAAACCATACCAATCTAGAAAAGGAGATTCATGCATAGAGTTTTGAAAAAAATTGAGATATATAGAAGTTGGAAGACTTCATGTGCGGGGTCTAGACCAAAAACACAAATGATTCTCTTTACGAAGTACATGTGTCGGCGTTGTCTTACAACCAATGACGGTGCAATATATTTCTCCAAAGTCATGTAGTAGTGCTAAATTGGCGTCAATTAGGACGAAAAAACAGCATCTTGATTTTCTACATGCGTTCCTTTGATACGAATGTCCTAAAATATTTCTTATTGGTTTATACTACCCTGATTTCTGTAATGAACAATCGGGTCTATCAGTATCAATTCTAAACCAATATCACTATCAAGCGAGATATATATAAAAATTCGAAAGCATAAATTGATATTTCTGAGAAGTAAATGTGTAAAAACTTCAAAGCAGGTATTTATAAATCAACGGGTTTCGAAAAATTGTGATATTGGTTTGCCGTTGCTTGTGTAATTGTGATAACTTTATAACTTTTGTAAATATCCACATTACAAAATTTTAAATTTTCTTCAATTTTAACAGTGAAACCAAGTGCTCCGTTAAGTGCGAATTTCAGCAACGTGGGAGCGACTAGTTTGGTACTTCACTGGGGTTCTCCTGCAAATATGCAATACGGTGAATTTAGACCTGGATTGACGTATTCTATCCAGTATCGTCCTTTATCTTCAGATCCAGCATCATTTAAGGTAATTTTTTAAAATACGAGTTATTTTTCTAATTGTAACTCTAAGTCAACGTTTCTCAGGCTTTGTGGTCCTCTTAACCTGCCCTTGTGGTCCTCTTAGATTGCGAAACAAAATTCAGATTAATTGCATATACCAGACATGGACAAACTGCGGCTCTCCGACACCTTAACCACGCTGAGCTACTTGCGATCCTTTGCCATCTGAAATGCGACTAGTTTTGAATTAATATAGTTTAATTTTTTTAACACAAATGGAATTTGAAATACAACTCATGCAGTACCACATTTCTTTATCAATCGCTAATATAATTTCCGATATTATGTATGTAAAAATTTGATAGATTTCAAACTGTCCAATGCCGGCTTATTGTCAGAACAAAAGATAAGTAACATTTTAAAAAATTCCATTTCCGGTAATTACTATTCCGTTTCTGTTACTTTTTGAACAGGTAATGGTCATCGGAATTTAATAATACAAAATTAATCTGAAACGCAATGCTAATATTTTTATTTAATTATTCTCCCTAATATTTTTTCTGTCAAGTTAATTTTAATTCAGGTATTATCTGCTTACATTCAGGTGTGATCCCATTGTTCGCAACAGTTGTGATCTACCTTAAAGATTTGCTATTCGTTGCAGGGTACTACTTTTATTCAGTCATTGAATGGCGTGACTAACTGCTCCAAAAACTTGTTTCGCCTTGCAATCCACAGAGAGCTCTTTTAATCTGTGGGAGAATTTTACGAGGATTTCATTGGAGAGAACCTTCAGCCTCTTACTTGGTTAGAACCTCTTACTTGGTTGTCTCAAATTTCTGCGGAATTCTTTGAAAATTAATTTCCGATTCCTAAGCAAGTCAAGCATTTTTATGCAATGGCTTCACGGATTTCTCAACCATTCACATAAATATGCTTAATGAAGTCTTTTACCACATGAAACTCTATCTTTCGTAATAATTTCTTGGTAATCCTACGCAGAGATCATAATTTATTTCACCAATGGCTGTGTATGCTGAAGTACTATTTGGAGTCGTGGGAAGACTCACTGATTTCACAACGATTTAAATTTTAATCAAACTGTTTCATTCCCATTTTGTCAAATATTGTATTCCAGAGAGAGAACTTTCATCTTAATAATTAAAGCTTCATATCAATAACGTTACAAACGTCTCACCTCCCCAACGTTTCTGTAAAAATGGGCATTTTTATATTGGAGATTTTTATATTAGCTTGTGATATTTTCTTGTATTTTTCGATTTCTTGTTTGATGACTGTCTTTATTGGTACGTCGTACTAGGTTAGAGGTATTTTGCTGCACTAGGTTAGAGCCGCCGGTAAATATCGCACTAAGTTAAAGGCATTTTGCTGTCCGGCATATCTAAATTTTTACCTCTTAGTACTACTGACTCCGATGCCATCATTATATGCTTCTTTTAATTTGTTTATATCTTATATCTTCCTAAATTTTCGATCATCATGTACGTCTGGCACGTCCTTTATGAAAGCTTAGTAGACAAACAAAAAGTTTTACAATGACTCACTGCTTGATCACTACAAATTTCAGGTAATAATGTGAAAATATGCTCCCGTAAAAGTTTATTTTCAATGTCTGATCTTTTATTTTCTAAATTATCCTCTGCTTAAAGACTCCATTTCAAACTCAATTTGAGATTTATTTTCTGTAAACAGGTTAGGAAACCCAATGAAATATTGTACCGTTAGTCTGACAATAATTTATTTTAAATTGCTTCCATTTACACATTTTTAGAATAATACAGAGTTGAAAGTTGAGAGATATTTCTCTTTAGCTACCTCCTAAATTTAAGAACTTTAGAGCACATTTAAGCAGAAAACGATCTAAATTGATTAAATTCTTCTTTAACTGCCTTGTAGAGTTTTACACATAAATGTATCAAGTGTTTATTTTTTAACTTATTTACGCAGTATGAAAGCTTCATTCAAATTTTTCTCAAAGAGACTTCTGCAAATACATGTATTTAATCCTTTTCTCTCTGTAGGCGTGTAGTTAGTTTTGCGAAGTTTTCTAAGTTATTTTCAGATATTGTGAAATTAGAAATCTAAGTCTAGGATTTAAGGAAACATTTGTCCACGTGGAATATTATCGCATCTATAATATAAATTAATAAAAGAATAATTACGAAAGTTTTATCGGCATTTAAATAACAATTTTATTTTTATATTGGTTTAAAAAGCCACACATGTATTTTTTTAATTTTCATTTTAAGCGCTTACATATTATTCGGCTCAAAATACGTAGCTTCAGTGTACTATGATTAATACAGCTTAAGCGTACTATTACCGTAAAAGGAATTTTTCCCAACGATACCAATACGTATTTAATAGATTTTAGCCTTTCTATATTTAGTCTCGCATTTTATAGTTTAAAGTATGAATCTGCAGCAGTTGTTATAGCATTATTTTAGAGCTATGTTTAAAGCTCTATGCTTCCACGTGATCTTTAACTTTGATTAAATTAATTCGATCTCTGAAAGCAAATTTTTTTTCTTTCAGGAAATAAGGCTGCAGCGAGAACCCTTTTCATTAGCAGGCTCTGCTGAATTTAAAGATCTGATTCCTTATACGGAATATGAATTTAAGATTCGTTGCAGATCCCCGGATTCAGATAGTGATTTGATGTGGAGCCCCGACTTGACTATTTCTACAAGAACTCTTCCTGATGGTACTCATGTTTAAGTGTAATATGTAAACAGTTAAATTTTATCACTTCTGAGTTTCTACTTATCTTGCTTACGAGAACTCTACGAAATAAGTCTTAATTCAAAATCTGCACCTTTACTGATAGTTTTGATTAAATTTTCTCAAAACGCAGCATACTCGGATATTTAAAAAATAGTTTTGATTAAATTTTAGCAAAAAGCAGGATACTCGGGTACTTAAAAAAATCTTAATTCAGAATTCATAGAGTTATTATCATCTTAAAATCCTCCAGTATAACATAAAAGCCACATTTTCATTGAGAATGTCTATTTGTTTGTTTCGTAAACTTTTTATTTTCCGAATTTTGGAATGTTATATAGGTGGATATTCGTATATTGGTATTCGCTATTCATAAGTTTCAATTTTTGATGATTCCTGAAACTCTCTCATCTCTTCCACCAATATTCTAACAGAAAAATCGTAGAACACTCGTATTTAACGCTGTCGAATCTTAGCAATCGACGCTGTCGAATCTTAGCAATCGAGATAGCTGAATCAGATTTTTCTTGATTTTTCTCAATTGTAACCTGAATAAAAATCAGTTTTCCTGAAGTCCTTCAAAAAGCCATCCGTCCCGTTAAACACATGGTTCTTGAGTTATTTTCCATAATCTAAATAATCCAGTTTTAAAGCAGAGGTTCGATAAATGTTGAGTATTCTTAGAGAACTAACTAATTATACTAAGGGTAAAAACTTAACGGTAATTTTCCGTTTTAACAGGCCAATTGTTAACAACTGTGCCACAAAGTACCAAATGTGGTAACCTGATTATATCGCTTCATGAATAACTGAATGCTGAAGGTACGCAGTTCTAGTGCTGTGCACGATACCTAATTTGTGTGGTTTGTGTGCAATGCTGTCGTTCTTCCCATGTACATCCCTATGAATACAGTAAATTTAAACTAGAGAATTGTTAATATTCGGTATTGTGCACATGTAACCTTGTATACATATAATTATACAATACGTTACTATTACTGAAAGCTCTTTTTCTTCCATAACGCTTTATATTATTAGGCTTGTCGCCATTAGATTTCACGCTAATGTTTATGTTTGGTGGTGGTGCCTCGTCAACAGAAAAGTACCTTTTTACTAATGAATTAACTACTGTTACTAAGTAGATCTTTGGTGGTACAGGTAGAAGTGGGCGGGAGACCAGAAATTTACCATTGGTCATACAGATATAGTCCCACCGCCCTAGCACTGAAGTTCCGCTCTAGTTTTGAGGAAGAATACTCCAGGAGCGGTCTGAGTGTCTTCCACCCCTCTTCCCCTACCAAGACATTCGGCGAGCCGTATATTTAGAGTGTCTCCTTGTCGTACAAACATTATACTGTTATAAACATATCTGCGAGGATGGTGAACACCTGGTTGTTACTAGTGGTAAGCAGATCCTCCTTTCTCCACTATCTAGAGAGAACGCCTCGCATTAGGCCCTTAAAACAACCTATTGGGAGTTAATTGAAAAAATTGCAATTATGTTTACTGTGCTAAACAAGGGCTGCAGAGGTGCTATTGGTGTACAGAGGATATACAGTTACATATTCATTACATGACATAGCATTAATTAACATAATTACATGCATTAAACGTACATAAGCATACACATAAAACACAAACATAGTTCATTGTATACTATGGATACAGGCATACTCATACATGAGTTGCTGCACATGGTTCACATGTTACATGGTTTCTTAGATTCAGTCACTAGTATGTCTAGCTCAGTGAGTGTGGGGGTAAATGAGACTAGTCAATATCTTGGCCCATTGACGAGATACGTCCAAGAGTTAGCAAATTTTAATGATGGCAGCTCGATTTCTTACAGCGAATCATTGATATGCTTCTAGATAGCTCGATGGAAACAAAACCGTTGGTCAGTTAAAAGATAGATGTAGGCATATTAAGTGGGACTGCCCACTTGACGACTAATTTCTGCATTGGAAATATTTTGTCTCTTGTAGTGCGAGGAAGGAAAATGGGCCATGGCCAGTGATGAAGCGAGTAACCTGCAGGATAGTGATGTCTGCGGGGTTGAAAATTTGGGAAAAATTAATATTCATAAAAGAAATGTTTTCAGGCATATGAGAAGTGTATAAGAGCAAACGCCATGAACACAGAAACACTTAAACTAAAAAAGACTTAATTTTTAATAACCGCTTGAAATCCGATGTACAACGATCGAAATAATTTTAAGATACTTCATTTACTTGTGTATTCTCCCCTTTTTTTACTAATTTTATCGCCCGAAAATCGAAAAACGAAAATTATGCGAATAATGTAATTTCAAAAAGAGGTGCCTAAAATAAGAACATAACAAACAAAAAGTATTCATGAATAAACTACCAGTAAATATCATAGATATTTAGATATTCTAGATATTATCTAGAAATTGGCCTGAGGTTTAGTGCGTGAGGTAACCCCACTCAAGGATTATCCGAGGTGCCGGAAAAAGCAAGAAATGATTCTAGTTCATGTCGGCGAAGACAAACGTATTACACTAAGATAACATTATAACACCTAACAAAACATATATCTTCATTTCTACATTCCCTGTATCTCGAATCTTACCCGCTTCTATTGCTGTACACTACTACTCCATAGACCTCAAATAACTTGATTGCAGTTGAAACTATTGCCTGTGTCGTAGCTATCGTCGTAGCCATCGTCCTATCCAGCTTTCATTCTTTCTTCCCATAAATGCAATAATCTTTAGAACCATTAAGAGCATTAGATATTCTAGATATTCTCGTTTTTCTGAATATTTTCATTATTAATTCTTCATTAGTCATAGCCCATGCACTCCAAATCCACGAATCCAATTGATAAAACAGAAACATACCTGGACGAATCCATTTTAAAATTTAGGGAAGCTTGCATTCTGAATTCTTTTGGGTAGCTGAAAATTATGTGTATACATAAAAGATTTTCAGAACCTTATACTTAAAACCTGAGGTGAAAACTACTTGAGGGGGGGAAAGTACGGTACATTAAAATACTGAAATTCTGCATTGCATCAAGCGTTACACGCAATTTAGTTTAAGTATTTTTCTCATTTGAATCTGTGCGTCATCCATATAGTATATGATTACGTGTTAACTTACAGTAAGTAAACCCGAAATTATTAAAATTATTGATGCATTTTTCACATTAAATATTGCAAAGATTCGGTTCATGACTTTTTTATATGTTGTATTTTTCCCAAAGAACACTTAACTGTTTTTAAATTTAATTTTATTTATAATTCATATTATTACGAGATTAATTAAAATTATGTTTCTAGTTCCTTACAGGAGACCTGAAATTACAAACTCTTCATTTACTATTGAATCTAATTATGTCACTGAAAGCTTTCCTGATATGAGAACAATAACTCTTTACTGGAAGGTATGATTTAATTTGCTATTCTTTTGAAGTGCGTTTCTGTATGCTTTTAGTTATAGTATGCTTAGTATAGTTTAGTTATAGTATGCTTTAGTATTCTGTATGCTTTTCAGTTTGCTTTTAGTTACTTATTTCAGGGTGTACCTGCTGCGCACGAAAATGGCCCAGACTTTCACTATGTGATTCACGTTTCTTCCCGAAATTTGCCACTAGGGGTTATTGCTGTTGGCAATGAAACAAAGTACAGTTTTTGGAACATGACAGTAAATACACGTTACAAGTTTCAACTGTATGCCAGTAATAGCGTCGGTCTTTCCACCAACATTTCAGGAATTGTTGTTGCAACAGATAAATGTAAGTCATTTCTTTTATAATTGTTTTTATTTATAAATCTGGAAAAGACTTTATATAAATTTTAAACAACTTTATTTACAGCAAGCAGGAGTCTATTCTAACCTGATGTAGCTTACAAATGAGCAATATGTTTTGTACTTATATGTAGGGTCCGAAATGTTGGTCAGTAGGCTTTCTACGATAGATATAATTCAACTGCAAAATGCATTGAGAGTGCGTCCAAATTTTGTTCCTTTACGCAGGAAAGAACGCCTATATGCTGCACTAGTTGTTTTTTCGGAAAAGCAAAATTTTCAAAGTTTTCTTTCGTAATACAGTAGGTTTCATTATATATTTAACTACTATATATTTTTTCAATATACATACAGGTGGGACTATGGAGGATCTACGTATGTCACATTACACCATATTTTATTCGATTGTAGATCTTAAATATAACATAATTATGCAAACTGATTGGATATACATTATAAGCTTAACATCTAACTCAAGGCTATATCTACGTGTTGACTGAGTGGCCATATGCTCACCGTTGACTTGTGGACTAATTCTTAATAGCTTGAAAATATATTTTTTTTTAATGTCATGTTTTTAAATGTAGTGTTTTCTACATTCTGCGTTTAACATCTAACTCGGGGCTATACATATGCGTTGACTGACTGGCCATATGCCTACCGTTGAAGTGTGGACTAATTCCTGTACGCATAGTAGCGCTAATGTTTTCTCTTTGCATATGCGCCCCTGCATGTTTACCTAAATGCTTGTAAGAGATCTGGATAAAATGATTTCTTCGTAAACATCTCACATTTTACTTTGCTGAATTTTACTCTAACGTGATAGCTATTGGTTTCTCATGAATAACATTTGTTCAAATTTCCCAGGATAATTTAAAAAAAAAAAAAAAAATCTTCAAAAGTCACTCACCTATTCTTACTGGTAGAATAACTTAAGTGTATGAGTAAACGATGTACAATTTAAGCAAGCTCTTCTTATTTTTGATTCTGTTTTCGCAAAAATTCAATAAATTTAACTTTGTCAAAACTACACAAATTTCTTTTGAAGATTTTAAAGGCTTTAACTGATGGAAGAATTAATATAATATTTTGAGAAATAGAATTTAAAAATATGCACTTAAATAAGTTTTTTTTCAAGAAAACTAAATTTGAAAAATTGGGAGAATTTTAAAGCAGCAGAACATGAATGAATATCACCATTGTGACGACGATGCAACGTGCTTGGTATCTGAGGTGGCAAATGTTAAAATTGAGAAAGCACAAATCAGTAAAGGACAACTTCCATACCGGTTGTCTTCACCAAGCATCGAGCTGCAAGGTATAGTCTTAGAATTATAATGAGTGTTTATATAACGACATGTTTATAGGAGCTGCATATGAACATTATGTCGTTAACCATATGAACATATGTCCATATGAACATTAAGTCAGTTTAAGCCTTCGTGGAAAAGTTTTTTCGGAGAAGATAAACAATAACTTTCTAGGCAGACAATTCTAGGTAGTATTGTCTGCTCTCTTTTGATGTTTATACGATTAATTAAATAGATCTTATGCAAGAAGAATTTTGTAGCTGTTAATGAAATTTTATCATGTTACAAAATTCGTTTTGCTCATCATAGATGATCATTTTTACATAGAATTCAATTATAAAATTGGCGAAATTTAATAGTCACATGATTAGTTTGTCCTGGCTAGGAAACTAAATTTTGGAAACTATAAATTAGTTATGCGAGGAGAAAAATTTTAATTCATTATTTCAGGTGGAATACGCTATTAATGACCATGAGAATTATACAAGAGCTATTAATGACCATGGAATTTAATGACCATGAGAATAATACAAGAGTAATGAGCCGTTAAACTGCTGGAGATCCTGTAAGCTGGATTGCCATTTGTGAATAAATAAAAGCTTTGATATAGCAGGAGTATGGTATTTCCTATTAAACTAAAATAGGTTATATTCACTCAATAATAATTTTAAATTCTTAAAACTCATGGTTTTCCCGTTTCTTTACAGAGACTGTAAATTACATTAATTTGTTTATTTAGGTAGTGTTTTCTAACCGTTTACAGGCGAAAATATCGCTAAAACGCCGGGGAGAAACCAACGTAAAACTAAAACATTGTAGAAGAAAGGAAAGCAAGGAAAAAACATCGCAGTTCTAAAACATCGTAGTACAAAATATCTGAAAATTAAAAGAAAGTTACAAATTGCTCAGTGTAAAAACATCATCGTTGAAAATAGCGTGGTAAAAATTAAAGCACCTACAAATCCTCGCATGACGTTAATATGGCAGGTGTGTGCTTTTCAGGCTTTATAAGCAGTAAATGCATATTCGCATAATGATTTGTGAGCGGAAGAAGGAATAAGGAATATTTTTGTTTTATACTTTTTAACTAATAAAATTTTACTTTAAGAGTAAGAAGGAAACTTAGCATTCAAAAAGTGAAAATGGATAGAAAATGGTACTATTCCGTTTGAGGACGCAGGCGGCAAAGACGCCAATAATGGTACAACCGATGCCAAACGGAATATCCTCGCTAATAACCTTTTACTCCTCATTTTCAAAACAAGTCGCAACCATTTCTTATCAGATTGATTGTTTCTTTCAATACTGGCATACAATTACATACAATTTTTACTTTAGATAGTTCAATTCTATGCCCTAAGGCAATTCGCGGGCGGTAATTAAGTCAACTTGGATGCAATCACACTGCTCACCTGATGGCGAAAATGTAGAAAAGTCAAGGGTTAAATTCATCTATTCTAATGAGAGTGCACTAGCGAAGTAAAGCACTGCGGTTTTACGTAATTTCTGAGTAAGCTATTCGTACGAATTGAAGTAATTCTTGCATTTAAACTTGTGTTTCAAATTAAGACTTAAATTAATTAATGCAGAATTGAAATTAATGCAGATAATTACCGAGAGAATCAGATTTTTGTAGCGTAGTTTACGTGACATGAGATCACTTGGGGTCACGTGAGATGAATCGACGAATCAGGATTTATACCATGAAAGCATAGTAAATACTTAAATTAATGTGTTTTTACAAATTTATTGGCTTTTTTACAAAATTTTAAACGACATTAAAATGTTTATATCTTCAAAATAAAAAATTCTTATAACTAACATTTGTCAACATTTTTTATGTGTATACTGTGTGTAGCCGACAATAAAGTCTGCTTGGCAAGATTTGAGCCGGCGAAACGGAAAAGTACCTAGAAAATTAATATTACTACAGGACTTAAAAGTATTTTATAATTTGATAATTAAGTAAACAATTTTAATAGAGGTAACGATATGTGGTTAATTATCTTACTCTTCCTAATCTTGTATAGAATATATTTTTAACGAAAAATTACAATAAAATTTTATAAAAGAGATTACTAATTAATTAATGCCCATTATTAGTTAACTGCACCAGTTCAAACTTCCATTAATTGCTATACCCAGCATTATTTTTCTGTTGATTCTCAGTTTTTGAATGCTTAAATTTCCTTGTTATTTTTTCTGGAAAAATTGATTACTTAATTCAAAAATATAAAAGTAAAAATATTCCTTATCTCTTCTTCCGCTCTCAGATCATTATACAAATAGGCGAATTTTTAAAGCTTGTAAAACGCATGTCTGTGATGTTATCGTCAAGCGATGTTTTGTACGTGTTATTTTTTTTACCACGATATTTTCGATGACGATGTTTTAAACTGGGAAATTTTCGAATCGTTTTGTTTTCGTTGACGAAAATTTGTGCCGCTATGACTTAGAACTGCGATGTTTTATTCTTGCTTTATTATCTCTCACGACGTTTTCGCCTTGCTTTTTTTCTCCACGAGATTTTCTGCAGCTATTTGCTGCGATGTTTTCAGCCGACACCTTATAACGATATGTCAGATTTGGTTTCATTTCAATTTTGCAGATATTAATTCGTAAAATTCATTGTAAATCTAACTGACGAAGGAATACTTTGGCTGCGTGAAGTTTCTAAACTGTGTTAGAAATCTACGGGAAGGTATTCTTTCCTTCAGGCAAATACCTTTATGCGCTTACTCGCAATTAACTATTTTTCAAGATTTTAGTTTTCGAAACTCCTAGATTCTATAGCAATTCTTAAAATGAAGATTCTCATAACCAAAGTGGTCTTCAGCATAATTTGTGCAACTTTCAATTCTGGAAAGATTTATTGCTTGAAACTTATTACTGCGTTTAGTTCTTAAGTATTAGCGGGATCATCTTACTAGAAGTCATCAAAATTTAAGAATGCATCAGACTCTGGTAACCAAGCCCAAAATCGTTTTCTTCGTGTTATAAGGTATTTATCCCGCTTTCTTAGCATGCCCTCGTAGTGAGTTGTCAGCACGCTCGGCGTGTATTTCGAGAGGTCCGTGGTTCGAGTCCCGTCATTGCTCATTTTTCACATCTCCTGCTTCCAGAAAAATACCTAATGTCTCTATAGTGTTAATAGGAAACATCGCCATTTTCATATGCGATCTTTTCGCTAGAATTCAAGTTCCCCGCGGTTCTTTTGTTGATAAATCGTGATCGTTGGCAATATAATTAACATACCGTATCAGTATCAGTATCAGTAGCGGGCGCAGCCCGTCCCACCTAACCAATCAAGTTGGTCTTATGGTCATGACAGGCCATGCCCATTTCAACAAATGAAAAAATAAAACATAAAATATCTAAATGAGAATAATCAGTGTAAAAAAATAATAAGCAAAAAAGTGAAGAAAAGGAACAAATACAAACATTAGACAAGAGCAGACACTAAAAAACAGAAACAAAAAAGCGAATAACAAACACGAACAATGGTAACAACAAATTATTAAAATATACCAATTAGTGATGGCAATAAAATGCAAATATCATACACTGATTCCCACTGCCCGGCGCTCACCGTCAATAAATTTCATCACAGATTTACATAATTGTGCGAAATCTTTATAGCATAAAAAGGGATTGTCAAAATCAATATTTTTATCGTTTCTTAAGCCATCAAAGTAGGGACAGACCTCGAGGAAATGCTTAGATGCTTAGCATCACCAAACAGATCACATAGTTTACATTTATCGTCGTTCTGTATCTTAAACCTAGCGAAGTATCCCGGGAAACGCCCATGTCCGGTCAGAAACTGGTTAACTTCAAAATCATTAAGGATAATTTTTTTTCTTTTTTCTTTTTTCTTTTTTTTTTACATTTAAAACAAATTAAACAATTTAATTAACATACCGTGTTCACGCAGTAGTTGTGTTGTTGTTGTCTTGTCAAAGGAGTCAAATAGGACCGAAAGTATCCAGGACAGTAGTTCTGTATGGACACGAACTGAAAATTTAATACATTTTACGTTATTTTACAAGATCCTTAAATTCCTTTTCCGAGAACTACATGCACCATAGTTTGAAGTCTTTAAATGAAATGCTATGCGTGGAAATCTAACCTTCAAAATGGTTCTATATAAATGTGTTTGCAGAGATATTAGGTTAATTGGAAGTAGGCAAGATGAAAAATTAGCAACTGCCTTCGCCAGGAATCGAACCACGGAACTCTGAAATACCAGCTGAGTGTGATGATCGCTACACCACGAAGGTACGCTAGGAAAGCGGGAGAAATACCTTATATGTTTTCAGAAAATGTGAATTGTTAAGCTTCCACAGCTTTAACAGAGGGTGTTTACATATACTGAAAACGATTTCGATACACAATTAAAAAGTGCAAATGCATTGGAATAAAAAATTTTTACAACAGCTTAATATAAAATTAGTAACACAACAACCTTCAGTTTGGTGTAGATTTACGTACAAGTTCTCTGAGATCTTGTATATAAATCTACGCCAAACTCAAGGTTGTTGTATTATTAATTTTATATTTCAATTAGCGTGTTTCTCTTCCGTTTCCAACAGCTTAATATTTGAAATAAGTAATACCTTCTACTACTATTAAATTTATTTTTCTTTCCACATAATGCTTGTAAACAAGCTCTGGATTGAAACATAGGTTTTTACGCTTTCCAAAGAAAAATATTCGTATTCTGTAATTCAAAAATGTAGTAAAATGCATGCTGTTAAAATATCTAAATGCAAAATAATCAATATTATTAGTTAGAAAAACCGTCAAACAAATCATTTCTTCTGTACGGAAAGAAGAGAAATTCAAAATAAGAAGAGGAGAAAAGAATGTTAAAATCAACTCAACATGCTATCAAGAGGAAGTTTTATGTCCGATATTTAATGAAGAATTTCCATTTCTTTATCCTAATGACTTTCAAAGAGGGCAACTTCATCGAGACCAGGCAACAAGTTATAGTTCGAAAGGTACGTTGCTTGAAAAACTAAAGCCTGATATAGACAATTGCGTATATAGCTTTTATACGTACTCATGAAACAAACCCTGACATTTCATCTATGGGGTACTGCGACTTTGGTCTTTTGAAAAGAGATTTTTCTAAGCGCAAACCCACCACAAATAATGTAGTCTGGAAAATAGCGGAAAAGGAGTGAAAATGAAATCTCATGGAAATTTTAGTCTATCCTAGAAATCACGATGCATGTTTATAGTTCAGAAAAACGCTACCATTTCAAACGTTAATATTCTTTACATTTTAAACATTAAATAAACGGCCGCAAGCTCTTTCTGAAAATATGTAAACACCCTCTGTAGTAACATTATATTCGAAGTATTTATAGTAAATGTTTTATTATTTAATTATTTTGTGTATTACTGATTGTATAAATTTATTCTGGTCTATTTTTAGTACTTCGTGGACCTAAAGATATCATTGTCGAAGCGAAGGAAAATAGTTACTTCATTAGCTGGACTTCTGAGTATGAAGTAAATTATTATGAAAATGAAATAGAATATTATACTTTATTTTGGTGTAAAAGTTCGATTCCACGTCCCGTAATATGTCATGATTCTCTACAGTGGTTGCATTTGAACCAAACTGAATATAATCTGCAACTGACTGGTGGAAATGATTATCAATTTGCTGTATCTGCAAACTCCTTGAAGTGGACATCGGGAATGTTTTGGGCTTCTTGCCATATTTCTTTCAATCCTCAATATTTCGAGGCATATGAAATTTGCCTCAATTTTACCCAGGCCTTAGCTACAGTTCCCGATTCTGGCATTTTGTACCTATGAAATTTATAAATTAAATTATATAATAGCAAAGTTATATGTTATATGCGGCTAAAATGTACATTTAAGACGTGTGAAATGACTTTAATAATGGACATGGAAATGTATCTTCTTTTGACTACTTTAAAATATAACACTGAAATGTTTTACCTTGCTGATTAAATTTTTAGAATGCGTGTTTAAAAGTTGGTTTTTTTCACTTTACTATACAGAATACATTTTCTTTCATAACATGTATTCTATCAATAGAACATTTTCTGCCCTACTTTAGGGGTAGAAATGTAGCTGCAATATAAGCATTTAGGTGCATTAAACATCACATAAAAATTCTGTATCGAAATTATCATAGCTGTAATATATCGTAATTATGACTTATGTGTTAATCATTTTTCATAATTTTTATCAGAATGTCTTATTATAGCCATCAGTTGGATGTTGTTGAGGTAGACACAAATGTCATAGTATGCACTTTAGCAATTATAAATTGCGTTTACATGTAATTCTTGAATACAAAACGTTTTATTGCAGAACTGCAGAATTAATCATTTATCTTCGAACTTTAACATTATAAACTGGTCACCAATTATTTATTCCCTAGATTTATATGGATTGTGGAAAAATCCCCCAAATGATTTATGTATCGCCGTTAGAGGGCGCTTCGCTTCTGAAAAAGAATGTTAGTTTTTAGTTTGCGACGTAGTTAGTTAGCAGTGAACCTTCGATGCAATCCAGGTTGCTTTGTAAATAAAATGATTATTTTTGTAGATTGTTGAAGTATTTCACTTCATTTAGAATTAGAACCACCTTTCGCAATATGGTGCATCGGTGCCGAGAACCTTTGGCCAATTTAGAAGTTTGTGTTTTTTAATTTTGGATATCATTTTATGCGAAGACAGCCAAGGTAAGCCTGTATTTTCTATTTTTATATAATATGGAAGATCTTATTGCTAAACTGAAATCGAAACGAAAGGTATTGAGGACCGGAGTGTCCAAGATATTAAAGAAAATTGAAACCGAACTGAATAAAGATGATAGTAGTATAAATGTAAATGTATTAGAAGAAATTTTAGACCAGTTAAACGAAAAATCAAAATCCTTGAGCAATTTAGACGCTGAAATAGAACGAGAATTAAAAGTCGAAGAAGACGAATTTGAACTTGAAATCTCATCCGCTTTGGAATATGAAGAGAAAATTCAAGTGTGGCAGTTTAGAGGAAAGAAAAAGTTGAAAGAGTTGAATAAGTTGGAAAATTCGGACAATGCAAATAGAGACATTTCTAATGAAACCGTTACAGAATCCCAAAACGAAAGTAACAAATTCACTCGTCTTCCAAAATTAACGATCTCTAAATTTTATGGTGATTCTTCGGATTGGTTAGAATTCATAGGTCAGTTCGAAAATGCGATTGATAAAAATCCGAATTTATCAAAAATAGAAAAATTAATTTACTTAAAAAGCTTTCTTGGTGGCTCAGCCGCCAAAGCTATTTCTGGTTTCGCTCTCATCGAAAATAATTACGAAGCTGCTCTTGAACTGTTACGTTCCAGATTTGGTCAAAAGAACATCTTAATTAATTCGCATTTAGGACAACTCTTAAGTACTTCACCTGTTAGAAATCCTAATGATATAAACGGATTAAGAAAACTTCTAGATCACGCCGAAGTACAGATAAGAAATCTTGAAGCATTAAAAATAGACTCTGATACCTACGGAAATCTGTTAACGCCTTTAATTTTGAAATTACTTCCTAATGAATTCGTTCTTGATTATAGCCGAAAAATTAAAGACGAAAATTGGGATTTAAAAGGTTTGTTAGCCTTTTTGAGGAACGAAGTATTCAGTAGAGAACGCGCGGCTTCTGTTAATTATAATTCTAGAGAAAAATATTCGCGATTGGAAAAGCATTTGCCCTTCAAACATAAACATTCTCCAGCCATAACGAGCAAGCCGTCTACAGTTGAGTTATTAGCGGCGTCATCCGAATCGCAGTGTCTGTTCTGCGGGAACACAAATCATAAATCTGCGGATTGCGAAATTTTAAGTGTAGAAAAGAAAAAAGAGATCTTAAAAAGTGAATCGCGGTGTTTTTTATGTTTGGGTCGATTTCACCGGATTCAAAATTGTAAACAAAAAATAAACTGTGCCTTCTGCTTTAATAAACACTCGAAAGCCATTTGTTATTCATTCCATCAGAAAAAAGATAATGAAAAACCTGAAAAGAAAACGTCGGATTCGAGCGCTATTTCCGCTGTTTCGTCATATAATTCCGATGAAAATCTAATAAAGATCTAATAAAATATTATTACAAACGGCTTCTGCATTGATCCGAAATAATGATAAATCTGAAAATGTCAGAATTCTTTTTGATAATGGCTCAATGAGATCTTTCATAACTAAAGATGTATCTACTAAAATGGAACTTCCGATTGTTAGAAAAGAATCACTTTCTGTTTATTCCTTTGGTGATAAAAGTGCGTTAGAAAAAACCTTTAATGTTGTTAGAGCAAAACTAGAAAATGTAAACGATCCTAATCTTAATATATATATTGAGCTTCTTGAAACCGAAAATATATCCAATACTGTTATCTCTCCTCCAGATTTGAAATTTGCTAAGAAAAATAAAATTTTACAAAATTTACAATTAGCAGATTGTTGTAGGAAAAGTGACAAAATTGATATTCTCATAGGGGTAGATTTCTACTATTCTATAATTACTGGTAAAATTAAAAGAATTTCAAGAAATGTAGTAGCCACAGAATCTTTATTTGGGTGGTGTTTGCAGGGTAAAGTAAATAATGATCATAGTGAATTATTAACTATGAAAGTAATTGTAAATGAAAACTTGATATCAGATCAGTTACAACAGTTTTGGAAGCTAGAAAACTTGGGTTTGGAAAGTGATACTCAAAACGACAAAACTGTTGATTTAGAAATTATGAAATCTTTCGAATCTGATATCAGGTATAAGAACTGCAGATACCAAGTAAAATTACCTTGGAAACCGAATTCAAAACATTTAATGGAAGATAATAGGGATATAGCACTTGAAAGATTTAAGAAATTGAGTAACAAATTTAAAATTGATAACTCTTTGTTTGTTCAATACACAGAGGTTTTAAAGGATTACGAGTTAAAACATATTATTGAACCAGTTCAAGAAGACAATCAAAATGATAAAACCCTATTTTATTTACCTCATAGAGCAGTCATCAGAAATGATAGAGCAACAAGCAAACTAAGAATAGTTTATGATGCTTCAGCCCATAAACCAAAAACACTCTCTCTAAATGACTGTTTATATACTGGTCCGAACCTATATCCTGATATTTTTGATTTATTGATAAAATTTAGACAAAATTCGATAGCCTTTACAGCGGACATTACACAAGCATTCTTACAGATAGAGTTAAATGAAGAAGACAGGGACGTTACACGATTCTTTTGGAAAGATGATCCTAATGATAACAATGAGAAGTTTGAAAACCTTTAGATTTACAAGAGTTTTGTTTGGAGTAAAATCTAGTCCCTTTCTTCTAGCTGCTACTATTAAGCATCACCTTAAAAAATATTCAGAAATATATCCTGAAACAGTAGAACTCTTAAACAACTACCTGTATGTTGATGACATTATTGGTGGTCACCAAAATTTAGAACAAGCCCTGAAAACAAGTTTAGAAAAATTGTGAACATTTTTAATGAAGCTAGCATGTCACTACATAAGTGGCATACTAATTCCAAAGAACTCAAAGATATTTGGCATCGCAAAGAATTTTCGATGCAAGAATCTCCTGAAGTTGTCCCGATCAAAGTGTTAGGAATTAACTGGGATACGGATAATGATAATTTTTATTTTGACACTCAGCACTTGACAAATTTCATTTCCTCGTCAATCAACTCAAAACGTTTTCTATTGCAAACCGCAGGCCGTATTTTTGATCCTGTCGGATTTTATGGACCTTTCACTATAAGAATAAAGTGTCTGATTCAGGAAATCTGGTCTGCCAAAATTGATTGGGACGATGAACTGCCACCTGATCTTAGTTATAAATGGAAAGCCTGGTACGAAGAAATTGAAGAACTGAACCACCTCAGAATTCCCCGCTACTATTTAGAAGGAATATTAGATGCAGATGTGAAACAAATAGAACTCCATAGCTTTTCTGATGCTAGTTTGGAAACTTATGGATGCGTGGTATATCTGAGAATAGTTTTGAACAATGGAACTTTTTCAAACAGTTTTTTTTGCTTCCAAGAGTAGAGTTGCACCTCTGAAATCCCTTACACTTCCTAGATTGGAGCGTTTTGGGTGCGCTTTTATCCGCTAGATTGAGTGATAAAATAGCAAAAATCTTTAAAATACGAAGTAATCCCCTTCCACTGGACTGATTCTCAAATAACGTATTTTTGGATTCAGGGATCTCCCGAAAGATTTAAATCTTTCATCAAAAAAACAGAGTTTATGAAATTCAGAAACTAACTGAAAGCAATAATTGGCATTATTGCCGTGGGAAAGATAACCCCTCCGACCTCATATCACGAGGAACTACTGTTGCTAATTTAAGAAATTGTTCACTTTGGTGGTTTGGACCAGAATGGTTGCAAAACAAACGTATAGACTGGCCAGTTCAACCGAAGTTTGACGTGGGAAACGATAAGCAACTAGAACTCCGTAGTAAGATATCTGTTTATGACGTTGTTGTGAAAAGAGATGATCAACTATTGGATATAACAAAATTCAGTAATGTGCTGAAATATCTCAGAATTATGGCATGGGTTAGACGTTTCGTTGCTAAGGCAAGAAACCTGCCTGCTAATAGTGGAACATTTAGTGCTTTTGAAATTCAGGACACTGAAAATTTTTGTGTTCTTAAATCCCAGATGGATTTCTTCACACCTGAAATTAAGGCTCTTCAATCTAACAAGTCAATTTCTCCAAGCTCTGATATATTCAGCTTGGCACCGTTTCTTGATGAAAATAAAATTCTCCGAATTAAGGGAAGATTAGAAGAAACCGAATATACAGTTGACGAGAAGCATCCAGTTCTTCTTCCTAAAGATTCCAAATTTACTGAATTAATTGTAAAAAGGGAACATAATAACGTTCTGCATGCGGGAGTTGCAGCAACTTTAGCCAAACTAAGACAGAAATTTTGGATTCCTAAAGGCCGTCAGTTGGTAAAGAAA